TATATATATATATATATATATAGTACATACTATACTTAACGAAGATATTCAAACACAAACGGACAGACCTAAAGTACAGTTGTATATATATATATATATATATCCAAGGCGCATTCATACATGAATAAAACACGATTGGGTCTTCTGTCCACTACTACTAGTAGTACTACAGTACCCAATACAGATATTTTCAAAGCAACGATAATACTACCTATTATACAAACCCTGTCGCTCCGAGTAGGTTATGCGCACAGAATTCACCTCGAATTGGAATAGGTACGTACAGTAGTTGGAGCAGAATGTTAGAGTGCCCTACTGACGGGGTACATACAGTATCCACTATCAATCCAACTGCCTCAAACATGCCATGGCAACTGCCATACTATTCCTGCAGCCAATGTAGCCAAACCCTTGTCGCATTTGCCTGCGGATGGTTCACCCTGATGCAATCTGCTGCTGCCATGTCATCCCCCTTGTCAGTTCCTGTGCCTTGACCATCGCATTCGGCGGCAGCCAGCGATGTCATAACACGAAACCCCCTGTGAAACGGATTATCCGGATGGTTCTCTTTGGTGGCATAAACACCGCACAGCTGCACTTTTTTACTACTCGCATGTCCAATAAAGACCCAACGATGTGGACCAGCGAAATACACGGAATCGAATGGTTCATACAATTCACAAGTATGTTGAGTTTGGGGAGTTATTCAGCGGTGACATATTGTATTCCCCCCCACGCATCCGGATACACTGGGCCTTCTCCGTAGTTTACTTGTCCAATTTTGTATCCGGATGATTGCTTATTCCTCAGCGGGCACTGATGCCGGCACTGCGCATCTCCGAGGAAGGCAACAGTGCACGAACCTTCGGTGGGCACATGCAAGACAGTGACATGTACATGGATGGACTCGTTCTTGTGTGTGGTGGCGGTCGGACTTATCGCCCAGGCAGTGTCGAGGAAGGCACCAAAGCTGCAACGGTGGCTATCCCACGTGTAGTACCATGTACGGCAGCAGGCACTGGTGGTTCACTGCTGTCTGTAGCATCGACATCCACTACCATCGACCTTGTGTCTAGCCATGTAGCACCATCGACCTCGTATGTGGTCATGTAGGGTCTGGCATCCAACGAGAACAAGGTCTGCTGTCTGTCAGAGTTGGAAAGAATCTGAAGTTTCCTCGCGGTGTCCATGGGATGATGTTGTGAGAGCTCCCTAGTCTATCATGCCGTCAGTCATTGTATGAGAAAACACTGCAAGTCGTCATAACGATTCAGAATCTTGACTAAGCCCCATACGAATACCATCGTGAAATTATATATGTCGAGAGATTATATATAATATATATATATATATCCGTCTTTTTTAATCATGCAGTTGATGTGTGTCTGTCACCACGAAGCGTCATACTTCACCTTGAAATATTATCACGAGAATAAATATAATTATATATATATATATATTATTCACATCACACTGGTAGCTTTGAAAAGTCCAATTTGATGGTCCATAGCACAGTTGCGAATTCTAGACTTTGCATGTCCAATATACATGGAAGTCAAGTACTATGCTGTTAATACTTTGTATTTGGTTTCTATAGTTAGTTACTGATTTGGGATCATATTGTCGTTATATATTCCAGCATAACTCATCGATCCAAGACTGACCAAGCATGTACACACATACTCAACCGTTAATATTCTCAACTATAAAACTCGTACTATACAAACTTATCCACTTCTTTTGGGTCGGTCACAATGCGTGAATTGTAAAAGACTGTGTATGTATATGGGGAAATGAAAACTCGTCGAATGACATCAAGCTTAGTATGGATCTATTATACATGTGGATTTGTATTTGCATGTTAAAAAATTATAACTATACTTTCCCTACATATTCGTCTGAGCATTTTTCGTCTATGAATATATGAGTTATTGAAGTTATTTCAATCGTTTCAAGTGTCCGTATCTATCACGTGCATACTAACTATATCGTCTACTAGTTAGTCCCTCGGACATCTTGGTTAGTTGATTACAATTCTGATCGAGATGGTCGTAATAAATTGGGTAGGTATTTATTTCAATGCAAAAGATTATATTATTGTCAATTTTCCCAAAATGTGGCTGACTTTTGTGCTGACCTTTGTATGTAAAATTCGTCCATTGTCGGTCGAATAGTGGATAATTTGATTGGCTACTTGATTCTTGATCTGGGTTTTGATTGGTCGATCTTTGATTTGGTCTCCAATTTCGAATATATATATCGACTTCTTGGCAATATTGTGATATTGGCCAAATCTGCCAAAACGAATACACTTTGACGTACACATTCCGATTCTGCCACCATCTTTTGTGGTATGTCATCGTGACAGGTTCCAATATGTCACATCCTTGTAATAATATTAACATAAGATCGGGCACTACGTAGGTATCCTGACGCTACTATACAATATCCTAGTAATTGTAAACACGACACATTCTTTTTCTGTTCTGTTTCATATATTTCATATATTCAGTCGTGAAAGGGCACACTACAATTTATATATATATATAAATATTCATATTTCAATAGATACGTGGATCGATTGATAGGTAAGGGATCTTTATCACGTTTAACGATCATACTACCGTAGCGATGACAAAGTCTTTTGTCTCCTTCGTTCATATCGTCCTATGTAGTACTACTACTAGTACTACTACTATGTAGTTTACTAATTTAACACTATCCTATCATCGGTACAACTTCTTTTTATTGTCGCATCCAGAGCCAGAATATTCTCTGATGTGTCTTATACTAGAATCCACATGTACAAACATATATATATATATA